TATTGTTTCAAGTAGGGTGATGGTTGGCGCCTGTTAAAACGTTTGAACCCGCTGCATTTGTTTGCACCTTTCCTAAGTCAGGAACCTGATGTTCAGTGGTTGTCGTTTGTTGATGTGGTTCATAAGTGTTTCTCGTTTCTCGTTTTTTATATAGATTAGAACGTTGGTTTTCCTGTTTGAATGGTTTTACACTAGTCATTTCGGGCCCTTTATAGCTTGCTGTTCGATGTTAGCGAAGGCTCTGTGTTGAAGGCCGTACTTTGACCTATAATGGTTTTCGTTACCAAATTGTGACTTGGATGGAGAGTTGTCTCATTGGCACTCATACCACATCTTCTTATATCTATTTAAAAAATCAGAATGCGAATATATATGTTCAAACTCTTTTAGGTCATTTTTTAGTAACAACAAACAAAAGAACTATGTCAATTGGACCTGCTTTGATACTATAACTGCACTTGAATTTTTACTAGATAACATTTTTGTTTGTTATGGTGACTCCGTATATCGTCAAGTTATCGGAATTCCAATGGGGACTAACTGTGCACCACTTATTGCGGACCTGTTTCTATATTGTTATGAGTTACAATTTATGACTAAAATCAGCAAAGACCCATCGAAACAACATCTGATACAAAAATTTAATAACACTTTTAGATATTTGGATTGGCTCTCAATAATGACGACTTCAGTATGTACACTAAAGAGATTTATCCGGTTGAACGGACTTTAAATAAAGCTAATACTAACAATGAACACTGCCCTTTCCTGGATCTTGATATCTATATCTTTAACGTGAATCTTAATACCAAAATTTATGATAAAAGAGATAATTTTTCATTTCCAATGGTTAATTATCCATTTTTATATGGTGACGTTCCCTTGTCACCATCTTATGGTGTTTATATATCTCAACTTGTACGATTCGCTCGTGTATGTAACAATGTTTTAGATTTTAACGAGAGAAATTTATGTATTACTGAAAAATTATTACACCAGGGTTTTCGATATCACAAACTAGTCAAAACATTTACTAAATTTTATCATCGGTATAAGGACATCATTCGTAAATATAGCTCAACATGCAGACTTCTTATACGTTCAGGTATTTCACATCCAATTTTTTAAGGAAATATTCTTTATAAAGCACAAAAAATGTCAGTATTCACCTCTGAAGCTAACAAAACCTTCAAATAGACTTATTAAGAAGGGATATAGTTACGATACTGTTGTCAGGTCATTAAAGATTGCATATTTTGGCGTTAATATTGATTCACTTATAGGGTCTTTGCATCGGCACTAAACACATTTATTTTAAAACCAGTTGTTGGCATGACACGGGTTATGTTCTTCTCATATATTTTATGATGGTATGATACTAAACCCCTAACGGGAAGGATTGTGCCTGATATTCATATGATGAAGACATAATCTTTCAATCAGTTTAAATGAAGTCTGGAGCTGGCATGTCAGTTAACTGCTAGTAGTCTGTTGTTATTTATGTATTATTGTCATTTTGTTTATTTTCTTTGGTTACATCTTCTGACATCAGACTCGGACTTCTCTTGAACTGAATTTTAATGTGCGTATTGTTATGCGTTTACTTTTCTACATTGGCTAGAGGTATAGGGGGAGGGTTGAGATCTCATAAACATGTTTAACCCCGACGCATTTTTGCGCCTGTCCCAAGTCAGGAGCCTCTAGCCTTTGTTAGTCTTGTATTATTTTTAATTTTAGTTTCTTGTGTACAATTTGGAGTTTAGTATGGCGTTCATTATCACTGAACTAGTATATATATTTGTTTAGGGGCCAGCTGAAGGACGCCTCCGGGTGCGGGAATTTCTCGCTGCATTGAAGACCTGTTGGTGACCTTCTGCTGTTGTCTGTTTTATGGTCGGGTTGTTGTCTCTTTGACACATTCCCCATTTCCATTCTCAATTTTACATTTATTCTAAAACCAGTTGTTAGCATAATACGGGTTATGTTCTTCTCATATATTTTATGATGGTATGATACTTAACCCCTAACGGGGGGGGGGGGGGGGGGGGGGGGGATTGTGCTTGGTTTTCATATGATGAAGACATAATTTTTCAATCAGTTTAATTGAGGTCAGCAGCTGGCATGTCAGTAACTGCTAGTAGTCCTTTGTTAATTTATGTATCATTGTCATTTTGCTTAGTTTCTTTGGTTACCTATTCTGACGTCGGACTCGGACTTCTTTTAAACTGAGTTTTACTGTGTGTATTTCTGTGTTTTTGTTTTTTCTACATTGGCTAGAGGTATAGGGGGAGGGTTGAGATCTCACTAAACATGTTTAACCTTGCCGCATTTTTGCGCCTGTCCCAAGTCAGGAGCCACTGGCCTTTGTTAATCTTGTATGATTTTTAATTTTAGTTCATTTAAATGTTTTGGAGTTTAGTATGACGTCCATTTTCACTGAACTAGTACACATTTTTGTTAAGGGGCCAGCTGAAGCCGGCCTCCAGGTGCGGGATTTTCTCGCCGAGTCGAAGACCCATCGGTGGCCTTCGGCTGTTTTTTGCTCTTTGGTCGGGTTGTTGTCTCTTTGACACATTCCCCATTTCATTCTCAATTTTATAAAAAGTGCCGACATAACAAAATGTAATATACATTCAAATGAGAAAACCAACGGCCTAACGATTAATGTACAAAACAACAAACGAAAAACAAATATGATATACAGTAACAAACGACAACCATTGAATTGCATGCTCGTGACTTAGGACAGGCACATAAAGAATGCAGCGGGGTTAAATATGTTCGCGGGTGCCCAGCCCTCCCCTAACCTGGGACAGTGGTGTAATAGCACATCGTAAGAAAACAAATGTTTGAAAATAATTTGACTTATCAGATCGCTACAAAGCAAAACAAACAACTAACAAAAACACTAAAGACTCAAAGTACCGATCTGAGAAACTCGCAGTTACTGAAAGATAGTTCCAAGCCAATAACAACTAGTGAAAAAAAAAAAAAACATGTATCCAAGACAAAATACCACTGATTAGTACATTTCCAATGAATTTAGTTAAAAGATGTCATAAACACTATAAGAATACATGACCTTGTGCAAAGTCAAAATACAAGAATCGACAGGATGTAGAATCGTAGGCCTGTCTAACTGTATAGCAATCCAAAGTTAGTTAAATGTTTTAATTTTTGAATGAGAAAATCAATAATAGTACCAACGAAAACAATATTAAAAGATATAATTACAATGTTTAATTGGTAATCTTTGAGAATGAGAATAAGCTTATTAAAATGATAGATAAGCTTACATTCATCGTATCTAAATTTACGGGCTCTCAAAACAATATCACAGTAAAAATAGGGTGTGGTATCCCGTTAGTTATAAGTTTTTACGGGTAGGTGTTTTTTGATGTGTTGCTTTGTTTGTTTTGAAATGTTCTGCTTTGTTTTTTGTTTTTTTATATTTGCTACTTTGTTTGTTATGAAACGTTCTGCTTTGTTTATTTTGATATGTGCCGCTTGGTTTGTATTGATATCAATCACGCGAGTTCCGATAAATCTGAATTATGATCAGATTGGTATTGATATGTGTTGCTTTATAAAAATGCCCCGAAAATGTAAAAAATTCAAACGAGGAAACCAACGGTCTGGTTTATGATAAAACAATAAACGAATAAAGGACAGACAGCAACCAACGACAAGCACTAAATTGCAGGCGTGATTAAACATGTTGACATACTCTTCTCCATCCCTCCAAATAAAGAATAGTGGTAAACAGTACATCATAAGAAAAGAAATGTAAAAAATCAGTTGGAAAGGGCTTGACTCATCAGATCGACATGAAGCATACCAAATCAATTGACAAAAAAGACAAAAAGACGAAAGCTTCAAAGTACCGATCTAAGAGTACTCACAATTACTGAAAGCTAGTTCAAAGCCAATCACAAAATAATAAATGATTCATGTTTTCCGAAACTAAAATATCAATCAGTACACATCCAAATAGTTTCAGAAAAGCATAACCTTGTGCAATGCCAAAATATTGGTATCCACATGATTATTTTTTTAGCAATATAAATATTAATAGTTATCTTATAATTAATTTATGACAAAATCAATATAAGTACCCAATAAAGACAATATTCTACGTTGTTAAATTGATAACCTTTAAGAATAAGTGTTTTAATATGACCAAAGTGTTTACGTGGATCGTATTTTTCTTTATACAAGCTCTAAAAACAACATTACCGTAAAAATTAGGATGTGATTTCCCGTTTTTAATAGGTTGAACTTTCTACAGTTTCTCTCAAACTTCCAAACCAAAGCTCTATATCTACGAAAGATTTAAGAAAATATTTTTATAATTTGTTGCAGAGACAAATATACACATGTGTATATATGTCTCTGTTTGTTGTAACGAAATTCCGGATTCCAGTTTCGTGACAATTTTATACGTTTGACGTCGCTCAGTGACGATTTCTTTGCTGTTTTGTGAGTCTAAATAAAAGGTCGGTTATAAAAGAGTTCGCGCGTTCCATGCTGATGTATCTTTGTAGGAATTACTATTGCTATCCTAAGATTGGAAAATACTATTTAATATACAGCACTAATAAGGATACGAAATCGAGATGACCGACAGATGTACGTTTTCTGCTTTTTTCAAGGATCAGTGTCATTTATTGTAGTGTAAGTTCAATTACATACACATATTTTAGATAACACAAGTCCCTTAATGTTTATAAAATTTTAATATAGCAGTAAACAATAAATATTATAACAAAACATAGTTACACGTTGTGGTAATTCATAATTACCGCAAATATTTACTTTGGAAACATAGTGAAATCCATACACAAATTTGATAAAAACTACCAGGTGTGTTCCAAAACGCGTCTGTTTACTCAATAATACCATGTGGATAGGGGTCTTACTGTAGTTATTAATACATTTTCCTTTTCTTTGAACTGCTCAACCAAAACGTTACGAACTATTTTACTGTGAATGTAGCGCACTGTGTTTGTGAGAGGTAACACAACGTGCACCAAGTTAATGTCAACATTACCTCACCTGTATTTTGGTACAAACACAGGAAAATAAATACTAGCTACTATGTCGACGTACCTAACAAATGTGATAATTTTCTTAACTTGTTTTATGTGTGTTGAATTACAACAAAGTGACTGTCCTCACAAATGTGTTTGTTTTAGATCTACCGTTAGATGCATGTTTGCTCAGCTGGATGCAGTTCCATCACAAATTCCTAAGGATACAACCGTGTTGTGAGTATTTAAACTTTAACAACATTTTTGTTTACTTTTAAACTATTGATATACCAAATAATTAAATGATTTTCCAACGTGTAAAGTAAATATACCTGTTTCAGAAAGTTTGAAAATTAAGTTTTATATTAGTATTTTAGTTACAAAGTTGAAACAATGCAGAATATGTGGAGATATATTACCCCTTCAGTAGATAAGAAAAAAAATCAATTCATTATTTTAAATTTGCTATGAAAGAGACGTGGGTTTGTAGATGTATCTCTGATATTATAAAGATAATAAACTTGTTGTAGCTGTTGATTTTAGATACTTAATCTTTTATTAATCTTAAATTATTTACTTTTCCCCTCGCCAATTACTTGTGATGATGGGTTGGAAATTTAAAGTATGGGTAAATTATCTTAATTTAATTTGAATGTTAAAGTTAAATACCTTTCCCAGATTACATTGTAGATATACAAAGTTTGATGAAAAGAAATTTCGTCCTGGACTGGAAAATTTAATCATTGTGGTTCATCTTTCAATCAGGAGAAAGACAGAAGCTCAGCCATTTTTCAATGTGCCATGAATTTATAATAATTTTTATAAAAGAAACTCATGTTATTTGACCAGTTTAATCTCTTGTATGACTGGACATCGTTTATCAAGGTGTTTTACAAACAGTAGGGGTTTTATTATTAGACACCTCCTTATCACCTTAGGCCCTTTCATCTTTATTTGATATAAATATGTTTAAGGTCAGAGTAAACTGATCATGTAGTGTCTATGGGAATTTTGTTTCAAAAAACTTTTTCAAACTCCTTTCATTCAACTTTTCATTAAACTATTTTTAATTTTGAAGATTTTAAAAGGTCAATTAGAATCGAAGTACATGCAGGTCAAGTTGATTAATTGGTCAAGAACCTATAGATAGTTTATTACACCAAAAATTACAACAAAAGGTTATGATCCCCTATCAACACAAAGAAATTATTAGAAATGAAATGAATGCAGTCAAGATAGGTGTTAACATTCTTTAGTACATGAACTTTCTTTGTTTGAAATTTGACAAAATATGAAAGTGTGTATTGAGTGACTGAGGTTTGTACATAAAATGTTTATTAATGAGTTCAATGATCACGTTTGATACAGACATGCTATTCTACAATCAAACACTCACAGCTATTTAAATATTAGTTATTTTGCACCTGAAGGTTTTGAATAGATATAAATACTTTGTTGTGAGGTTATAGGAAACTTAACATTCTTGTTGAAAGACTCCCACAATACCATATCAATATAGAAATGTGTGGAAACAGAAAAGATTCCAATTTCAGCTCACCTGGTTCAAAGGGCTATAGTGAGCTTTTACAATCACTTAGTGATGGACATCTGTCATAAACTTTTTCCAAAATAATTTTCCTCTTGAACCACAGTATAAATTGAAAAAAAGTTTGGCCTGCATCATTATTGGGGTCAAATTAAAGTTTTAAAAGTTATGTCAGATGACTCTGAAACTTACATTCCAGCCTTTGTTAAATTATGCACAAAGGGGAAGAATAAAAAAGAAAAGAATTCAGAAATTCTAAAAAATCCAATACTGGACCATTTGTTATCGATTTTTGAGGAAATGATGCATTTGTAACCTTTTAAAGACATATGTATGATTGATGACCAAAACTCTTCAAACATTTATATACATGTTGTCTATAGCATAACTGAAAATAGAACATTTGACAAAAAATTGTGAAAAAGAAATGAATTTTTAATGATACTTTTATGAGAATGACCATTGGTACTTAATTTTGGTTGAATGTTTAAAGGTATTCTTTACAAATTATGTTATGACCCATCTGATTTCAAACTTAGCCACCATCATTACCAAAAATATAAGATTTGACAGAAAATTCAATAAAAAATTATAAAAAATCATATGAAGAACTAGTTGTTACAAAATGTACCATAGTTTGATAAATTTTACATTTATTATTAGTTCTCAGATTTATGGTAAATGACCCTACCAACTTCAACTGCCACTGTAAAAAATTTAAAAAAATCATTAACAGAAATCTGATGAAAATCGAAGTATCAATTGCTTCCAAACTTTGGTGAAAGACACAACTGTAACACATTTATGATCCTTGGGCTGACATGAACTAAAAAAACTGGGCACTCCCACCACAGCAAAGTTAGATTTATAAATCCGTAGCATTTTGAAATTGAATAAAAAATTTCCATAAGGTTCATATAAACATGTAGTATCGAGAACAATACCAATTTCTGTGCTATAGACAGGATTTTCATTTATTTAAAGGGCTCATTGGGCTAAGCATTTGAAAATAGTTCAGATCTTGGAAATAATATCTTGTAAAATATGTAAATCTTCAAAAATTGTTTATAAATTCATATTTGAATAGAAATACACACATATTTTCATTGAAAAAAATGAAACCTCCCAAACTTCGTAATATTTGAAAGTACTGAAACTGGGCCTCAAACAAAGAAGTTACAATTTTTTTATAGCTGAGCAAAGGACTTTGTTATTGTATCATCAAAAAGATATTTGTTTTTATAAATATATCAACAAGATTATGATGTGCATGACTGTTAAAACTCATGCCAACTACCAAGTATTTCTGGCGCTTACCTCATTTTAGTAATTTGGAAACATGGTAAAATAGATTCTATTTTAGCATTGTGGGAATTTAGTAACCACACTGGGTTTTTGTTGCTATTATTTTTCACTGATACTGAGATTGTGTCATAAGTTCATTAGTGATTTTATAACATGTGTACTCGTTAAATCTTAAGTTTATTTTGATTGTTGCTAAACATTAATGATGATTTTGTTAGAGTTCAATTTCATTTCTATGATTTTATGCTGAAAAAAACCTCCAAAATAGATAAAACAGTTAACAGTTAAGATGCAACTTAATTGTCTGCATTTCAAACAACAAAGAGGTCATATAATCATTCTATAGGTTAAAAGTTGGGTCAGAATGAATAAAATGAAAATGAAAAGTATGGTCAAATTAAACTATTCATTTCTTATGGACGAGAATAGCATGTTATATGATCTATGTCAGGTGTATAGGTGAATAAGTTTATAATGTTTCTGTACAAGCAATTTATCAAGTAACTTACTCATGTTATTCTTATTCTGTTTTGTAAAATTATTATTTTCTGAATTAATGCAAGGAGACTCACTGCTCCAAACTGATTTTATCCAGAAAAAAGAAAGCACTGTAGAGTAACACAAACCTCTTCCAAATTCAAAGCCACATTATTCAAACATCACATTTAATGTCTAAATCATTAAATCTTTTGATGGACAATTATTTTGTAATTAGACTTTTCTTTTATATTATATCCTGAATATACATCTAGGGTATACTATATTCAGTACAGCTACACCACTGTTACAAGTTAGGGGAGGGTTTAGCACTCACAAACATGTTTAACGAAGTTCAGAGCCTGTAATTTAAAGTGGTAGTCGATCTAAGTTGCTGTCTGCCATAATTATATATTTGTTTTTCAGTTGTCGTTTTTTAGCATAACGTTATGGTTTAAATTTTCTCTTTTGAATTGGTTCACATTTTGCCACGCCTTTTATAGCTTTAAACTGTACAATGTGGGTTTTGCTTATTGTTGAAGGCTGTATGTATGCATATGGTGACCCTGGGACATAATATATTAATAGTATAATAGTCCCAGGGTGACCTACATATATATATATGACCTACATATATGATTGATACATTTTTTGTTGTTTGAAATTAAACCACATCTCCTTATTTTTATATGACTTGAAATAATTATCTAACACATAGTCAATTATCTAACACATAGTCAATTAAGTTATATTAAAAGTTCATGTGGCAAGGAGTTACAAAGTGTGCTCTAAAAAACTTATTTAATTATTTAAATATCAAAGCTACATTTTATCAGAACACTTAAAAAGATATGTTTTTTTATAAATAAATGAACAAAATTATGATGTGCATGACTTGTAAAACTGATGCAAACTAGCAAGTGTGTCTGATTATATTAACTCATGAACCTCAAAGAAACTGTGATTCTGTCAGGAAATAATCTTGCACAAATGTCCATAATTCAGGGGAGATAACTATAGTTTACTGAACATTACTTCAAATCATATAAAGAAAACAACTGAATCAAAATTTCACATATTAGTCTTATATTTTGAATGCTTCCTAAAATAATTACAAAGCGGCAAGATTTATACATTAGGATATAAAAGACTTAATCCAGATAGGCTGTTTTTTTTTCTGGCAGATTTAGTGGTGTATTATATATAGCAATGTCGTTTTTCCATTAAAGTGGCATAGAAAAAAACTAAGAGGATTTAGTTGATGGGTATACAGGTGTATAATTAAACTTAAGGTCAGATATAACAGCACACAGCAAGGGGCTCATACAATTTTTAAGCTGCTTTGAATCACTTTAAATATCAAATGCAGCATGAATACACCCTAAGCATGACATGCCAATACAGTTTTACACCCTGACAGGAGGGAAAAAAATGACATTTTATTAAGATTAGATTTCAATAATTTATCATACCTAGGACTAAATATAAATTACATTCATGATGTATATATTAAAAGTGGATTTTAATGATAAATAATGATGCTATTCATAGTTTCTGATTTATGACATAATATAAACATTGTTTGTAAATATTTAAAGATGATTTTCTTTTCTCCTAAGGAACAAAGTGCACATTTTTATATAGTTGGGTATTGAAATTAGATGACACCCTTCATTCATAGACTTATTGCACAGGTCTATCAGATGAAGATCATTATAGATAAGCAGACAAATAGATATGCCATTTCTTACTTGACTTGTGTGTCCCCATAAAAAAAAAAGTCCTTTATAAAAGGCATAGTAGTAGTTTTTTATGATAAGAATATAGCTTATATATTATATATTGTATCAATTTATTTGTTTATCCACTGTGACAAGAATATAGCAAATATATTTGTTTTAATTCTTCT